GGGAGGGGGGCACACCAAATCGGCAGATGGACAAAGTCTACATAGCGCACAGCGGCTGATAGGAGGGCAACAAAGTTTCCAGACATCAAACTATTCGGCTAAAAACACAAAACGTATAAAAGCCGCGCGCGTTGTTATCACAGTCATTGTATCCGAGCGGTTTTGTGATGATAGCGGCCGGGAAAAGTATCAACGACGACACGCGAGGAGATCGTTGCGACAGTTCCGAGAGACTTCACGTGAATATCTCCCACCTGTGCAAACGCTCAGCCGCTGCGGCCGCAGGATTGTCTGTTACCATGCGCACAATTGCCGCGGGATCCGAGGAGAGAAACATTGCGTCTGATACGCGAGGAACAACAACGGCAACCGCGCTGCTGAGGAAATTATCATAGTGACAAGTCAAGTGACAAGACCAGTCACCCTGCGCAAGGAGAGAGAGCCGCAGTGAGCGGTCTTTATTACAGGAGGGGGCGGAGACAAGACCAGTCACCCTGCACATGGAGAGAGAGCACAGTGACCAGTTTTTATTACAGGAGGGGGCGGAGACAAGACCAGTCATCCTGCGCAAGGAGAGAGAGCAGCAGCGACCGGTCTTTATTACAGGAGGGGGGCGGAGACAAGACCAGTCACCCTGCACAAGGAGAGAGAGCACAGTGACCAGTTTTTATTACAGGAGGGGGCGGAGACAAGACCAGTCAGCTTGCACAAGGAGAGAGAGCACAGTGACCAGTTTTTATTACAGGAGGGGGCGGAGACAAGACTGGTCACCCTGCACAAGGAGAGAGAGCAGCAGTGAGCGGTCTTTATTACAGGAGGGGGCGGAGACAAGACCAGTCACCCTGCACAAGGAGAGAGAGCAGCAGTGAGCGGTCTTTATTACAGGAGGGGGCGGAGACAAGACCAGTTACCCTGCACAAAGAGAGAGAGCAGCAGTGACCGGTCTTTATTACAGGAGGGGGCGGAGACAAGACCAGTCACCCTGCACAAGGAGAGAGAGCAGCAGTGAGCGGTCTTTATTACAGGGAGCTCCAAGTCTCACACCGGATGGCTGCACAGATCTGGAAGAAATACACAAAGCTCACCGAGATTCAAGAAGAATACACAGGACTCTGGTATGAGGACAATATTCACTTAATTTCGGAGTTCAGCTTTAAGGGTAAAGTTGAAAATAAAGCTGGCCATACACGGGGCGTATATAATGCAAGCAGAACCTGACCTGCTGTTATCCTACTACAATCCCTAAGAGCTGCGAAAGGAATCAGCATAAGCAGCCAGTTTTGACAAGAAGCATGCTGATAGGAGGAGAGAGCAGAGTGGAGGAGATGAGCTCATCACTGTGCTGCTTTCTCCATTCACTGTCCAGTCAGGGGCTAGGCGGCGGGTCCAGGACGACCTGGGCTCAGAGGAAATGACTTAAATAAAGCCGGCAGAAGGAAAAGCCTGCTGGGAAAATCTCTGTATTGAAGGTGAATGATGCAGCAAAAGCTGTTTCATTGAATCTTTTATTGTGCTGTTCATTTGTCACTTGTGATTTTTGGCTATTCACATATCTTCGTCTCTGCCGCCCCCAGTCTGGAGTCCCTCTCTGCGGGAAATCGGCTTGAAGTAAACAAAACCCAAAAAGAGACAAAAGCTGCAAAAGTGAAACCAATAAAACGTCAGTTTCAGTGAGAACGAGACGGCGAAACCGGTAAAACCGGAAACGTGGTGCCGCCGAGGTAATAAAGTGCAAAGTCACATCAATCAGACGTAACGCCCGGGATTAGCGCTGACGCAATGGCCTGCCGCGTACTCTCACCTGCGCCGCGCCATTAGAGAGGGGGAGGGGAACATGC